GAAGATTACATAATAAACCAACAAAAAAATCTCCTATGCTCAAAACAACAATTATTGAATGCAGTCGGAGTACATAAGGGTGTGCCACTTCCCGACGGCGGTGCCACTTCCTGTGAGGTGATAGTATGTACTTTTGTGCCCTTTGGCTTAAAGATGACAGTACCCACACCTGCAGACTTGATGGTTACACCATTGGCAAGTCGAACAGGTACCATGTACGGCTGGTACTGATGAAACCATTCACGATGAGGTGTCATATGTGCAGTTGCACCTGTATCAGCAACCCAGTCAGTACCAGTAAAAGCAAGTAGCGACCCAGATGAACTGGTGCTATCTAAAAGGAAAGCACTTGCAGTTCCAGCAAATTCAGCCTTTTCTCCAGAGCTGTTTGCTTTCTGGTCATTGTTTTTGTTTCCTTGCTTTTTATCCTTCTTGAATCTGTATTCCTTTTGGGCATGCTTGTAGGCATAGCAATCTTCCTGTTTATGGAAGTGCTTGGGGTTCTGACAAAATTCGCACATTTGAGGCATTGATGATGCTTTGGCAGCATTGGCAGAGACAGGGACTTCTCCTGGCTGATTCCTCTGATAGTTCTCATGGAGGACCACCTTTTCCTTCACTTCACTGTAAGCAAAGGAGGAGAGAGACATCAAACCATCCACAAAGTTTGAGTTTTCAGGGATGAGAGCACGAATGAGAGTGATAGATGTCATTTCATCATCTAGCTGGTCAATAGTGAAACCTTCTGGACGGAGATTTTTATTGAGTTCAGCTGCCTTTTCAACTCTGGCCATCAAATCAGAGAGAGATTCATCCTCCTCTTTTCTAATTTTGAGCATGGCATCATAGGCATTGAAACGAGTGATAGGAAGTTGCTTATTATGCACTTCCTTGAGAACAGTCCACATTTTCACTGGATTGTCCAAGTGAGATTTAATGTGGATGTGCTGTGACTTCTCAACAGAGAAAGTAATGATTCCAGCAGCCTGATCAACTCGATTCAGCCAGTCATTCCTCTCACTTCGTATTACTGCTGCATCCCCTACTGGCTCTTTCTCCTGTCCTGTCACAATACGCCAGACTTTGGCACACTGAAGCACTGTTTGTGTTTCAAACGCCCATTCTATCAGAAATGGAGGGAGAGGGGTGGACACAAATGGAGACAAAAAGGGAGACACTGAGGGAGACACAAATGGGAGAGTCACAAAAAGGGGGGAAATTTCTCTATAGATCAGACAGAAGAGCTTGTCCTTATATACATGAGGAGGCTATGCCTACACAGCCCTATGAGTCATGCACAGCCTGAGGCAGTGCACACAGCCTCGCATAGCTACACAGCCTTGCATAGCTACACAGCCTAGTGAGTCATGACCTGCACCCGCAGTGCTAAATTATGGATAGCAGCCAGTGAATTGCCCTCTGAAGGACTGGCAAGCTTTAACCTGGAGGAAAGCCAGATCTGATACATATATTATGTTGTGGAAGGGGACTCAATGCTGTAAGTAGTTTTACACTTTCTTCCCACATTCATTTCTCATCCATCTTACAGTTTCATGCCACCTGGAATTCTCCATGCCATCCTAAGTCTAATGGATACATTTGTTCAAGGCAGCCATGCATTTAACAAATATGCACTTACAAAATCATTTAGTATTGGACTTTGAGAGCAAATTCTTGGCATTGCAGATACCAATGCAAGCAATGTCAGTGCTGAAGCCATTCTCCACAGCATATTGCAGCATTATTATTTCTGCATTGCAAGCAAACAAGACTCAGAGTGGCTCAGAAATCCTTCGGAAGCTTACGTTGAGCATGAGGAGCAAGCTTGTATGTTTCCATTCGTTTCCTATTGATCATAATTAATCCTTGACACTAGGTCCCACGGCAACATACACTACACTCTTGAGAGATACCCCTGTACTGCTGGATATTGAGAACATGGCTTCATTACTGGCCATGACAGCGCATGCATTTGTGTTTGAGCCGCAGTCCCAGAAGGGTGAGTGTATCCAATGCCCACAATGTAACAGTTATATGTTATTATATTATTATATATGTATTACATAATAAGTGTGGACACCATAAGTGTCCACAACAGCTTTTATTTAGCATGCCAGCACATTAGGCACCAGCATATATCTTTTTAACATTACCCTATTGTACTACCTACTCAATATAGTCTGAGTTCAGTTAGTCTTGGGTGATATAAGATATAAACAGTGTTATACGTAATCACTGGAGGCTGGTCAAAATTTTCCAAATTGGAAAATGGTTGGGAAAATGGCAGGATTTCGGTGCATCTTCCAGACATTTTCTAAGGTCTGGAAAATGTCTGGAAAATGTCTTCAAAGCTGGAGTATGTCAGGAAAAGCTGTGGGAAAAAGTGATATTCCAGGTATTTTCCAGGGCTGGAATGTCTCTGCAAAATACACCCAAATCCTAAAAATTTCCAGACCATTTTCCAACCTGGAAATTTTTGACCAGTCTCTTGTGAATCCATCTACACACAGCACCCTATATCTTCTCAACACGCTCGACTGCTGCTGCACTGGGTCCCTGACCTTCAGGAGGCAATGCGCACTACAGAACAGACCATCCATGAGTCATTGAAAGCTTCGAAATCTCTCATGCTCATAGTATTTAATCCATTGCTTTACCATATCTGAATGCATTTCTTCACTGTACATACATATTGTCTGCATGTAGATTATTTAGGTTTCCTAACTATTTGACACTCCACTCTGATGTAAAGCAATGACATGATGGCAAAGATATTGTCAACAGAATTTCTTGCAGGGCAATAAAACAGCTGTACTTGAAGCAGAGAGCAAGAGATGTCTGATGGTAGACAGTATCTGAGGACAGTCAGAGTTGTCAAAGCTTCCACTGAAGGTGATGGACATAGTGGAGAAGACTCATGAATTTGGGTGGCTCAAGCTGCTCAAAAAGTTGATGGGATGCAACAATGGGCCTGACAAGCAGCTTCTGCAACGGCTCCTTGTCCCAGGGTGTCTGATAAAGTTATTAGGAAATTTTCACGAGAGAAAAGATTTCATCTCACTCTTGCCCTGTTGGTTGAACATATTAATAAAGACATCTATGTGATCAGATGACTGCGTGTGCCCTAATTTGTCAGCAATGTCAAAGGGCCAATCGCCAGTTGGCATCTGCTGACCTCAGCAGCCCTTTGTTCAAAGCCACCTGACACGTGTTAGCTTGCTTAAGTTCTGGATGGGGAAGTAGGCCTCTTTATCCTCATGTTGTCTTGCTTTCTTAATGGCTTGACCCACAGCTGATACCCCCCCTCAACCCAAACCAGGTGTTTTGATGAATGCACTCCACACCTTGGCTGGCGAAGTGATGAATACTTCAAGGAAGGATATCTCCAAGACTTTTATTCACAGTCGATACCAAGGATTTCTTTGAGAAGATAATTCCTCTTAGTGAAGAGGATGTTGAGAGTATCTATAATAAGCTGACACAGGGAGAGTCCCCTCTCTACCAGCTTGTCACAACCAAACAGATATCGCCTCCACCATTGCCCACTGCTGGCCGGCCCAGATACTGGACCAAATTTCCTGTGAAGGTATACACTGGAACGGAGAGCCAGTTTTACCCCATATGTTAGAATGTGACCTTGACATGTCCTAATATGGATGACCCTGTGCTTAGTCATCACTCTTATTGTTTGGACATATATGGAAAGTCTATTCTTATATCACATCTTCTTATTGTTCTATATTTAGACTCTTATTGTTCTCCCCTTTTATCTCTTCTTCTATTGTTCTCTCTTATTGTTCTTCTCCTATTGTTCTCACTCTATTGTTCCCTTTCTATTGTTTCCTCTCTATTGTTCTCCATTGTATATAAACTGGAGTTCTAGAGACTGAGATCCCCAGTTACTCATCTCTTGGACTCCAGGCTCTGTCATTCCTGTCCTCTCAGAGTGTGACTCACCACACAGGCTTTACCTATTTTAACACCATATTTACAGAGATAGCTATGGAGATCAATGATTTTGTGAAGACCAAACACCTTGGGAAAGAAGGAGCTATGGAAGGAGAATGGGTTGATTGCCACCATAAATCACCTTGGTTGACAGACGTCTGTGCTGCGAGTATTCGTCCAGATGGTGCTTTTATTTCTAAGGATACAGAGTCCCAAGATATCCAGTGAACAAACTCTTGACTGGAGAAGCTGGGGGCTGAAATCAAGGATCTCAAGAAGGAAGAAGGGAATGGTGACAATCCTAGAGCAAACAAGGAGCTTGACGAGGTATGTATTTAATCTAGACGCTAGCTGCAGCTGGTAATGTTGAATTGATATATATAAAAAAAGAAGCAGGAAGTAAGTACACGAGGCTGTTGTCATTCACGTGTTGGCTTACTTTGGTGGGTTTTTTAGGATAAACTCTGCTGTCTCTGGTGGCTACAGATTGTTGAAAGTAGCCTCTACATCCCTTACTTCTCTATTATTGATTATGGTCATTATAGTATAGATATCTCAATTATATGTTATATCTCTTTTTTATATGGTCTATCTTCATGTTATATGTGTTTCTATCAGATAGTTTACGGTTTTATGTACCGGCGCTTACCCTGCTTATGTAAGCACCGTAGATAGCGCCCTGGAGACAGTGGATGTAGCTCTTTGACCTTACATCCACCTTGTGTCCTCCAGGTATGTTGTATTTCAGACTCAAACTCTTCAATATACATGACTTTACATCCACCTTGTGTCCTCTAGGTGTTGTCTCGCTGTAGGAGCCTTAAGTGCCCATTACATCGCACAGCACAGATGGCGAACATTTTGGAGATGAAGTGTCTAGGTGGAAAGGGAGAGGTTAAAGAAGCTCTTTTTCAACTTTGTGGGTATGCTCAGCAGCTCCTGAGAGAGCAGCTTGACTGTCAATTCATGATTGGCTTTACCCTCTGCTTTGACCAACTCAATGTGTATCTATTCGATCACAGTGGGATTGTTGGAACTAGGACCTCCATTGATATTCATAAGGTAGGATTTGAACCTAGGACCTTCCCATAATATCTAGGATGCTCTACCAACTGAGCTATAGGGTTTATAGGTGAGTGCTACTGTTGATTCAATATGGCTGTAATATTACCATACTCAACAAAAGTTCATTCAAGCAATTGCGGCATTTTCTATCTTGCCAACTGAGCAGCTATGTTGGGATCTGACAATGTCTATCTTCTATAACAAGAAGGAACACTATTCTTCTCATTGTTTCCCATGGAGAGATTTTTCAGAGTTTCAATCACTGTATACGATCCAATGGGTCATCAAAGTTCCAGTGGATGGGGAAAAGTTCATTTCCATACATTCCCTCAGTTTAATTGGGGCAGAATTTATGTGCAGACGAGCAACGATTGTACTAGAAGTCATCAGGCTGAAGGATTTTCTGGAGAGGAATGAGAAGGTTGGTAGTCTACTTGGTTTGTCTGGAGTTCGGGATTAATCTGGTTCTGTCAGGCAGATGTGTATATGTGATGAAGCAAAGCTGGCAACGACTTCCTGGAAGGCAAAATGATGAGATGTTGGAGGTAGCCTTGCTGGACAATGTTCAGTATTGGCTTAATCTTATTAAGCCAAAGCATCGTGGTGCTGAAGCAGAGACTACGCTTCAGTCCATCTTCTCCACTGTGGGAAGGTGGGACCAGCTTATCACTGATTGATGGAAGTGTTGAAAGTAGCCTCTACACCCCTTACTTCTCTATTATTCATTATGGTCATTATAGTATAGATACAGTGGGTCAAAAAACTGTCCCAATGTTTGCTTGTTATGTAAAGATGTGCATGCAGTACATGAACTATCAATTAAACATATTTAGCACTCATTGTGAGCATTGTAGAGTGGCATCATGGCTCCACAATCATCAAGGAATCACGTGATTTGATGCACAATCAGGAGAGATATTAATATTTCAGTGAGAGGGGTCATTGGGACAGTTTTTTGAGCAGTTATTTTCAGTACAGAAATAAAACATTTAATATTTAGTATGGCCTCCCTTGGCCTGGATAACAGCTTCTAATCATCAGGGCAGACTCTATATTAACTTCTGACACTCTTCCTGTCCAATCTTCCTCCATTCATCCTGTGCTCTGCTCCATAATTCCCAGACTCCTGAGGCTGGCCTCTCATAAGCCAAAATTCTTCTTTTGAGAAGATTCCATAGGTGTTCTATGAGGTTGAGGTCTGGAGACTGTGCAGGCCAGTCAAGAACTTGGATCCCATGATTTTCAAACCAACTTGAAGCCAATTTGGAGGTGTGCTTGGGGTCATTGTCCTGCTGGAAGATCACCTTCTCCTCTGGAATTTCCAATTCCTTGATGCTCTCCACCATAAACTCCTCCCAAATGGTTACATACTGTTTAGCATCCATCTTTCCCTCAACCTCACATAGAATTCCAACTCCATTCCACCCCATGCAGCCTCAAACCATGATATGACCTCCTCCAAATTTTACTGTTGATTCCACCTCCTTCTCTTGAAGTGGAGTACCCTTGTCCTTCCACACATATTTGTGCCCATCTGACCCAAACCGATTGATTTTGGTCTCATCTGACTAAAGAACACATTTCCAGTCTTCCACAGTCCAGCTTTCATACTTGAGAGCAAAAGCCAGTCTTGCCTTCCTATGCTTGGGAGAGAGATATGGCCTTTTCTTCTTGGTATAGGCCTTTAAGTTGTCATCCTTGAGTACATTCCTGATGGTTTGTACTGCACCAGGCTCTGGGATGATAGAATTGATGTGTTTGGCAGCTTCCACTGCAGTAGAAGCCTTTCCAGTCCTCACCAAGGACAGGACAGCCCTCTTATCCATGGATGTCAGTTTCCGAGGACGTCCCCCCTGGGTGATTTTTTTTGTCAGGCTGGTAATCTTTGGCAATTCTGGACACAGTAGACTTGCTAACACCAGTTTGGTGCTCAATGTCTCTCTGCTAGAAAGACCAGAAGAGAGGAGAGAAAGGACTTGAGTGCATTTAGCAGCAGATAAAGGTCTCATGGTGAATGTGGGGTCTAGAGATCCATGCCAATCTCTTTATATGTTCACTAGAGCTCCACCCATGCTCCACCCCATTTTTGGAATGATGTCATAGTGAAAAATCCTCTTAAATCAAATGATCTCAGTGCACAAAAACTGTGGTAAAAAAACTGTCCCAATGACCCCTCTCACTGAAATATTAATATCTCTCCTGATTGTGCATCAAATCATGTGATTCTTTAATGTTCATGGAGCCATGATGCTAATCTACAATTTTCACACTGAGCGCTAAATATGTTTCTCAATAGTTCATTTGCTGCATGCATATCTTTACATAACAAGCAAACATTGGGACAGTTTTTTGACCCACTGTATCTCCCTGTTTCGCGTAGTCCCTGTTTCACGTAGTCTGGAGATTCAAATTTAGCTAAGTTGGGCAGGGAGACTATATGGCAACCTGAAAATGCAGGTTCTAAAAGGGGTGAACTCGAAGAGCTGGCGAACCATTTACTAAGGTGTTCTACATAATGTCTCATATGTCCTAACATAAACAATTAGACTGTCTCGTGATTATGTGATTCTGAAACGCGAACAAGTAGCTGACTAAGTGTTGTCTGCATCCGCCCATATTAGCCCACATCTCCACACGGACGTCAGGGAATGTCCCTGCGAGATATCCGTGCCTGAGCAGGGATACACAATCTAACTATTTGGGTAAACTGTTCCAGCAGTCCTTGGCAGCCAAAGCAGGGTTTTTGTATGTACTTGATATATTAGCATCAGACTTGCATTGTAACCTAGCCGCATACACTCTGGTGGCTGCGAGACGTAATGGTCGTCCACAAGGAGCTATGACGTGCATCAGTTGCAGTTTCAAAAAACTGCCACTGATGCACGTCATAGTGGTGCTTTGTGGGTGCATTTCCTTTCTCAGCTGCTTGAAGTATGGAGGAAGGGAATACGCGGGTCATGGCGATACGAGACTGTCAGAGCAATGTGGGCCTGACACGATAAGTCTTCCATAGGAAGCTAACCCTGATGGACACCATGATCACAAGGGTGATAAGACTATAACCAGGCGAATTCCTGTTGATTTCTACAGAAGTCTGCATGGTATACCTAGTGTGTTAGACTGTCGGAGAAAGATGGGCACAATAAGTCTTCCATAGGAAGCTAACCCTGATGGACACCACAATCACAAGGGCGATAAGACTATAACCAGGTGAATTCCTGTTGATTTTTACAAATGACTCCATGATATACCTGGCGACTATAGCTGGGCAAATTCCTGTAGAATTCTACAGAAGACTGCGTGATATATCTAGTGCGTTAGACTGTCGGAGAAAGGTGGACACGATAAGTCTTCCATAGGAAGCTAACCCTGATGAACACCGTGATCACAAGCGTGTTAAGACTATAACCGGGCGAATTCCTGTTGATTTCTACAAATGACTCCGCAATATATATATACGTATATCTGGAGACCCTTCCTAGAAAATTCAATCCTTCAAATGTGATGGGGTACCTACAGGAAACAGGGTTAGCATGCGTACGATTGCCAATCTTGTGTCAGACCTACCATGCGAGCCATATGTAAAGCAGAATGGAGACCTAAGCACTAAAAACATTTCTAACAGATTATGAGGTGATACATAGCCGTTGCATGAGATGTGTTGGAAAAGCAATGCCAAAGTAGCAGGCGTGGGGGGGAGCAAACTGTCACAGCATGTCACGACTATGTTCACTTGCTGCTAAGCAAGTGCTTAAGCTCCCTTTGAAAATTTGACGCTACATGATGTTTATTTGTATGGACTGTTATGGACTCCTCTGTATGTTTCTTTACCTCTTGTTCATTTTTTCTTTTATTGGGTCATGTTGATGTGTTGCAACTGAACAGCTGCCGGTTTTATATCCCCAAAATGTTAAATGCAACACATATTATTTCTCAGGCTCCTTCCTAGCCATCCGACAGCATTGACTGGAAGTCCAACTTGGAGGGCGGGTCAGAGCCCATGAGCACACTATCAGAAATGGAGAGAGAGGGGTGGACACAAATGGAGACAAAAAGGGAGACACTGAGGGAGACACAAATGGGAGAGTCACAAAAAGGGGGGAAATTTCTCTATAGATCAGACAGAAGAGCTTGTCCTTATATACATGAGGAGGCTATGCCTACACAGCCCTATGAGTCATGCACAGCCTGAGGCAGTGCACACAGCCTTGCATAGCTACACAGCCTAGTGAGTCATGATATCATAGCCACATACCTGTGCATCAGCACAGCCCTGAACCTATGCACACAGCAGAGTCTGAATCTCATATCCAACACACACGTGTGTCCCTAGCACGTTAATTAACTTGCGCGCTTAGACATAGTGGTCCAGCTGTCCGACAGCATTACTGGCCCCCAACATTTCTCGAATTAACCACGGTGCTTACATACTGCGGGTGGTCATGGGCTCTGACCCGCCCTCCAAGTTGGACTTCCAGTCAACGCTGTCAGATGGCTGGGAAAGAGCCTGGTTATTTCTACCTCATCGTTCATACACCTCATCCATATCCATGCAACCGCAACAACATCGACATTGTCACTCGCTACTACAGCTCTACAGGGTATTTAAGCATCCGATGACGCAGGGGGGATAAGTGACCGCCGGTGAAGGCGGTGTTTAATCACTGTAACTGAAAAAAATAGCAAAACACAATAATTGATATTCAAGACATTGCACATCAAAATAAAATATTTAAAATATAGACAATTCACTGCCAACTCAAAAAGCCTTGTTTGTAATGACTTTGATATTGCAAGAGTCCGTTTTCTTCTTCGGCAATCCTGACAAATCCTTCATCTGTGTAGAGGGTGCGTATCAACCATCGCCGATCTTGAACAGGTATGTCAAGGAATTGCGAGGCTCTTTGCAACCTGGGGCCATTCAAAGTGTAAGTCCTTGAACGAGCTTCTGTGATGATGGTGTCCACCTTGTTGATCACATTTTTTATGACCTCGACTCGTTGCTTCACCCTATCTCTCCATACATCCACCCCCTCAGCTTTACACCCTTCAATAAATTGTA